ATGAACAAATACTGAGATATGATAATAATAACAATAATAAAAACAGTATGGTCTACTATGGTTTTAGCCCGATCCACATAACACTCTCTCAACATGGCTCTCAGGCCCACCTCAGTCATCAACTCAAGTCTCAAGGGCTCACAATTTCATACCACTCATCCCAACAACTCCACATATGGCAAAATAATGATAACATGCATGTAACAATGAATGATGAACAAATACGGTGATATGATATGCAAATGAAGAACCATGACTGAGTGTATAATTATTATTAAATCAGATAAATACATAGCCTAAACACGCTTTCTAATATGAATCACAGCTCAGATGATCAAACCAGTAGAAAAAACATGGATAAAATAAGACATGATAGCAATACAATGCAAAAGTCAACCCGAATCATGATTATCTGGTGCACGCCCACACGCCTGTCACCTAACATGTGCGTCACCCTATTACATCACGAATAACATGGTTCCCAGGATATTTACCCTCAATTCCAAGTTTATAAAGGTTACTTACCTCGAACAAGACAAATCAAATACTGAGAAAGCCAAATATTACACTAAAAATGCCACCTCGCGCGAATCCACCCCCACATGGCTCTAAACTAGCCAAAAGAAACTCAAAAATATTAAATAATGCCAAAGGAAACCAACCCAAACTATAAAGGTTGAATCTTTAATCAAAACTCAAAGTCAACCCGGGCTCGCTCCTTGGAACCCTATAAAACTCACAAATACTGACAAACCATTCAATTACGAATCCAACCACACTAAATCACTCAAATACGACTCTGAATCAATGTTCAAATATCAAATATTCAATTTAGAAAAATTTAGATACTCTCCCCCCCCCCAATTTCTCGTTAAAATTCATAATTCAAATGCCAAAATCGAAGATAGATTCATGAAATATAATCAAATTCGAGTAAAAAATACTTACCCCAATCCATGTGGTGAACATTCTCCCCAAAATACCCAAAAACGAGCTTCAAATCTCAAGTTGTGATAAAATGAACCAAAACCTCGAAATATAAGATTCTTCCTTGAGGTTTCCGCTTATGCGGAACAACGGTCGCTTCTACGACACCGCATCTGTGGTGATTTCATCGCGGATGTGAAGCCCACTCAAATTCAGTCTTTGCGCTCCTATGTGCCCAAATGCGCATATGCGACTCCGCATGTGCGCTATGCATCCGCATCTGCGCTTATCACATCTGCACAAAATTTCTGCATCTACGGGCATACATGACCTCACCTGCAAATTCAGCCTTGCACTCCTACGCGCTCAAATGCGCATATGCGACTCCGCAGGTGCGCTCTGCATTCGCATTTGCGCTTATCGCGTCTGCGTAAAATTTCTGCATCTGCGGGCATACACTTGTGCCTCTTCTGCGGCTCCGTGGGTGCGCTCAAAATCTAGCATCTGCATAGATATCTCAACTTCGACCACTTCGCATGTGTGACCCTAGAACCGCTTCTACGACCACCGTACTTGCGTAATACCAACTTTAGGTGCGGTAACACTAGAACCCAGCCCAAACCGGCAATAATCAACATGTTCCAAAATTATCCGAATCACGTCTGAAACTCGCTCGAGCCCCCCAGGACCCCATTCGAACATACCAACAAGTGCCAAAATGTAACACATACCTACTCAAAGGCTTCAAACTACACATAATAACATCAAAACCCTGAATTACACCACAAATCAAACTTAATAAACTTTTAACTTTCAAAACTCATGCCAAACCATATCAAATCAACTCGGAATAGCCTCAAATGGCATAACGAACCTATTCCAACTCTCTGAACAATAACCCGAACCCGATATCATCAAAGTCAATTCCCGGTTAAACTTATGAACATTTCAAACCTTTAAATTGTCAACTTTCGCCGATTAACACCAAAACCTTCAAGAACATCCAAATGAAAATTCGTGCATACGCCCAAGTCCAAAATCACCACTCGGACCTACAAAAACGTCAAAACTCCGATCCAAGGTCAAATACACAAAAGTCAAACTTGGTCAACTCTTCCAACTTAAAGCTTCTAAAATGAGAATTATTCTTTTAAATAAATTCGGAATCACCCGAAAACCAAAACTGATGTTACACACAAATCATAATACACCATATGAAGCTATTCGTGATCTCAAATTACCGAACTGAATGCAAATGCTAAGAACGACCGATTGGATCGTTACATCTACTATATAAGAAATGACACATACACAATCTATTTTAAATAAAACTTTATTAATTAGAATAAATAAATAAATAATTACTCCATAAAGAATACTATAACAAAATACATGATTTATAATATATTCTAACAATCTCCCACTTAGACCACGTGTCTACAACTTTAACACTCATTTTCTTTATTTGCATATAAAAATATTTATGTGGCAAGCTATTTATAAACGGGTTTGTCAAGTTATTATCTGACACAATCTTAGTGACTACCACATAACCTCTCTGCATTGTGTCTCGAATTTAATAATAGTTACGCTCAATGTGCTTAGCGCGGGAGCAATATTTGGCTTAGATATGAGAAACAAATATTAGTTTCTAAAAGTTCCTCCTGACACGGGGGTGCCCTGGAACATGTTCATGAGGCTGCAAGCTAAATTTTGACATGTATTCATGCAATACAAAATATAAAAGGAAAAGTATGGGAAAGAGAGTTAATTCCTAAAACTGAAATCCATGACGTCTTCCTCAATCCCAAAACCCTCGATCCCAAATGAACTAGACCAATCCCCATCATTCAAGATCAGTTTTCTATAAGGGATGTAAGATAAAAACGTTAGATTAGCATTATTTAACACCTTAAAACTTCATAATCCTTGATTTTTAGCAAGGATACAAAGTACCTTTCAAGAACTCAAAACCTACGGTTTCTGAGAACGACGTTAAGGTACTTTCCCTACGTCCTATGTCGCGCCCCAAAACCGGGGTGGGACGTGATAACGTTCAACCTACCTTACTCGTTGAGCAAGTCTTGTTCTAACTAACTAAAAATTTTAAATAAAATATCTTTTCCATGAAAATTTATTAAAAATTCTTAAGACAATAACTGTATGAAAGTTAAATCATAATGTAAAACTCAACATGTCTGACAACTAAACCCACTAGTAAAGTCGTGAGCCTCTAACTGATGTCTGAATACATAAATCTTCTAGATAAAGGTCTGGAAGCTAAAGGTATAAATATCTACTAAAATAATATAAATATCTACTAAAAGCTAAAGGTCTGGAAGAAGGACATTGACACCGCTGGAAAGAATCAACGGCTCACCACTGAGTCAGCTGAACTCGTCTCTAGTCACGTGCTTTGTCACCTATAAACGCAATGCCTGTCACACGATATGGAAGGCCCAATCAGGCTAAGTACCACCAAATAATACCTAAAACCTCTCGTTGACAACCCCCTAAGCGAAGGACAAGACTTGCATGGGCTAAATATATAAATATAATAAAATACAGCAATTAAGGTAGGCAATTCACATAGCACATAATAAGTAGTCTCAAAACTAAAACTCATTCTAGAAATTTAATTCAGCAATTATAACTGAAACTGAATCTGTATATGATAACTGGAAGCTAAAGTTGAAAACTGAATTTTGTATCTCGTAACTGAGATAAAAACTGATAGCTGAGTCAAACTGATATTTGAAACTAAAGTTGAAAATTGAGTTATTTTTAAAGAAATACTTTTTCTGAAAACTTTACACATAGTGGCCCTGTTTACGTGAGCATTTGAAAACACGTACGGGAGACTGTCAGTCTATCTCCCTAACATACAATTTGGCCATGCGTACACAAGCATCTGGAAACACGCACGGGGAGTGTTGGCCTATCTTCCCAGCAAACAATTGGCATCTGAAAGTATGGGGTAGCTAACACTGGCCACCGTGGCACTCATACTCAGGGAGGTTGACTACTTCTCTTTTTCTTAATGGGATCATATTTATCTGAATCACAACTGAAAATTTGAGTCGTACAAGCAATTGCTCATAAATAAGCAATCACGGCACATCAAGAACTAATCATCTTTTGTTCTAAATCTGAATTGAAGGTCTGAGCAATACATGTAACTTCACATAATCAAATATTTGTACGGAAGCAAATAATGGCAACAAGTCATGAAGTCTCATCATTCTCTGTCATATAGGTATTCAAGTTGTATGTATAATTTTTATTCTAAAAGTAAGGCAAGTAAACAAACAACTACTTTGCACATTCTAATCTAGCTCTTAACTTAGAGAAGAAGCCTCAACACACCTTGAAGCAAGTGTCCAAGTCTTCTCTCAATGACCTCGCATAGACAACTCTTCAAAATTTACAATTTAAGGGGTTAAAACCATTTATCCAAATTATTCATTCAACCCAATTCCTATATCAAAGTCTTATTTAGCCATTTTGGGCTTAAATTTAATTTTCACCTCTAACTCCATTAATTCTTATATTCTATGATCCTAATATGTTCATAAGATTCTAATTTTAATACGAAGGAGTAGCAAACTTTACCTTTGGCGAAGTTCCCATAAAATTCTAGGTATTTTTCCCTCTTTGAGGTCTTGGATATGTTTTTTGAAATCTAGAAATTTTTCAAGTGATCTGATGTTATGAGTATGATTAGATGATGAATATCCATGTATTTACCCATGAATTACTTACTTTTGAGTGTCCAAATTTTTCCAACTTCGTACTTGCTATGGGGAGAAGACCCAATACTCAAAACCCTAAAATAATAGCCTTTACCAAAATCTGGAATTTATAACTACAAACTACAAGAAACTTGACTTTTAACGACCATTTCTTAACGAAGGGACATGAATCCGGTCGTTATACGTGTACTTATAGCGACTAACTTTTTTTTCCGGTCGTTAAAGTCAATTTTTAATTTCAATATTAACGGAGAAAAATCTTGTGTCCTTAAAAGTATAATATCCAGTCGTTAAAAGTAATTTATTAAATAAAAACAGGCACAAACTTTTTCCCTCTTTTCTTACACGCCCAAACCCAACCCCCAAAAGAAAACCGCTAATCTTGGATCGAAAAACGCTTCTTTCAATTGGAAGAATGAAGAAAATTGCTCACCATCTGCGCCATCTCCTCCAATTACCCATGTTGGAGTAAACTTCTTCACAGTAAAAATACAGCCCGTCTCCTCCGTTATCATCGATTTCTCGTCTAAGAATTTCCTTTTCATCAAGGTAAGTTTATGCCAAATCGCTAAACCTGCCGTTGTAACTATTGAGTGGAATTGGGTATTCTTTTATTGTCCAATGGTCTCTCGGTTTGATGATATTGTATTGCTTTTCTTAGTGTTTGTCTAGTACTTTGGATTTCTTCTTAGAATATTAATATTTTCCAATACTATCTTTTATCAATGTCTGGTTATGCTGGATTAAACCTGTCCGGAATTGCAATTTTCTTCAATTTTTGTTGTTTATTGACCTAAGTATAGACCTTCATTTGGTATATGAGGTGAAAGGAGAAATAGGTATAAACATAGCAAGGGGTAATCTTTTTTTCCTTTTCATGTAATTTTTCTATAAATTGGTCTTTATCTTTGTGCTTTTCGTTGCAGTTATGACTAAAGACATAACCATGAAGACATAATGGTTTATTAAAAAATTATCACTAGTTGGATGAACTAAAATACAGGGGACTTTACATTTCTATAAAGTTCTTGTCATTACTTGAAGATCTAATATCAATATATGAACTTTGAGATTTCAAACGATGCGTCCAAGTGCTGGATGAATTTAACTAGGTATATCAAAGAGTAAATTGATGGTGCTTAATATTTCTTGGACATTGCTTATTCTGTTGAAGATCCTCAAGGCAAAGAATAATATTGGTTTAAGTATGAAGGGACTGCATCTAAGATTTGCTTATAGACGTGATCTTTTAGCATCTTATTTTTTTTAACTTCCTAAACACATAATAAGAACATTAATTTCTCTTGATACAACTTGAAATAAAAATATCAATTGAATATCACATGTTTCGAGTAACAAGTAAAGCGATTGCATGTTTCACACTTCTTCCCTAACAATAAATTACCTCCTCTAAAATTGTATGCTTTTATTTGTGAAGTAAATCACATCTTCATTCTTGCTTACTTTGTGATGAAAAGATCAAAATAATAACTAATTTTGTAGAACAATATTTTTATTCTCCCTCTTTCTATATGTTTTTTTGCTCTTCTTAAAAGGAAATTATTTTTTCCTTATTGGTGAGTTCTTAGAGATGATGCTTTATTTTTTGTTCTTTTGTTGCTTCACTTGTTTAATAGTTTATATGCATTGAGTATCGCAATCAGCTCATATCAAGAAGTGAAGGTGAAGAAGGCAGAAGTTGCTCAATATTCCCAGGAGGCACAAGTTGCTAGAATTTCTTTGCAGTCGATGCTCAACAATCCCAGGAGGTAATAGTTGTTGTTCGTGCAGACATTAGTTTACCATTTTTACTTCGTGATTGTTGTTTGTGAGGATAAATACTATTTCAGGTATGTCTTTTTTCTTTTGTTTCACTATCAGTTCAAGAATGTTAAATGCTTGCATTAATATTAGGTGTAGTTGATAGGTTTTCTTCATTAGCTATCCAAAGTGAAAGATACTAATATGAATCCTTATATCCATGGGTTACAATTGAAGTCTTTTTTCTGTAATTTCTCCTATTTAATGACATCCATGAAGTGTTATTATGTCCAACTATAAATTGTCCCTATATCACTTGCACTCTGACTATTTCTTTCCTATCTCTGACTATTTAGGTCCATGATCATATCTTTCCTGATCTTTCATTTAATATTACACCTATAAACTTTACATGGTCGTCCATTCTAAACTTGTAAATTAGATTCCAACTCCAGTCAATCTCAGAACTACAAACATTATAAGCCTAGAGAAAAGAATGGAAGATGATCTTATGGACAAAGGGAAAGTACTTTTTGTAAATGCTAGCATTCTTAGCAAAATGAAGGGAAAGAATTTTGTCATTGATATCTTACTGTGAGCTATGGTTCCCAAGAGAGAAAAAGCTTTCGTACTCTTACTACTGAAGTTTTTTCTTCCTAAAGTAAATTTCATTTGTGGTAGATTGTCAATGGCAATCCCTAAGTCACTCTTAGACTCTCCACTTATTATTTATCATGTGATAGCATTCGTCATTTCTATAGTGTTATTGCATTTCTGGATAGCATTTCTGCATTTTTGTATTTTTGCACAATTTTATGCATGTCTGTAAAGCGTTCTTCATCTCTGCACAACATTCGGCATTTTTGCACGTCATTTTGTATTTCTGCACAATACTCTACTTCATGCAATGTCAATGCTTCCACAAGTAAATTGATGCAATACCTTTTTAATCTTTTTCCAAATTGTTGATGTAATGCAGTAACATAGACTTTTTCTTTTAACAGATCAAGAATTTGAAGAAATGAAGCTATCTTGAAGATAGTGTAGAGCGAGTTGAAGGAGATGAGAAATGTTAAAGAACAAATTGAAGTACAAGAGGAACCCACTTTGTTTTGCGAGGAATTTTTAAAGATGTTGTTTGTATATGCTATAGTTCTATTTTTTCTTTTTTTAGGAGTTGAATAAAATAATGTCAGTAATATTTAGATAAGTATATTTTTGGTAATGTGATATTCTAATTCTTTGTAATCAACAATGATGTTTATATGAGTACTGACTTTTTGTATGTGTTTGGATATCTGTGTGGATATGTCACAATATTAGTTACCGTTATTTATACAATTAATGAAAAAAATTCCGGTCGCTAGAAGCACTTACAAAGGCTGAGTTTGTTGTCGTTATTGATATTTTAGTGACCAAAAAATAACAATTAGCGGAGGAAAATTCAGTCGCGAAAAGGAGGAATAACGACTGGATTTGTTATCGTCGCTAACCGGTCGTGTACTATTAACGTCGGAGCTTTTAACGACCGGTGACGACCGTAATTTATCTGGTCGTAAATGATCAATAACGACTAGACTTGAATTTTTAGCGACCGAATTTTCCCTCATATTAATATAACCGCGTGGCGGTCGCATGCTGTAGCAAAATTGAACTGTTTTTCTGCACTTAACCAAATCCAAATCGCGTGGTAATTGATTATTGAAGCGAAACTGAGCTGTTTTTTTACACTTGGCCTCTAATACTTTCTCCCATTATACCCGCACAAATTGATTCTAAATCATCATTTAACATCTATATAAGCACTTTTGCCAACTTAAGATTTTGAAATAATTCTCAGTACGAGTGTAAACTCAAGGCGTAAGAAGTCACTAAAATAGTTGGGGCTTTACATCCTACTTCGAAAGATAGAAACTTTATAATGTATAACGATATTTGGATGGTACGAATGATATAGTTTATGTGTGAAAACGACATGAAGCCATTAATAGCCAAGTAAAACCTAAGTTGAGGGATTAGATTGAGTTAGTAGTTACCGCTTATTATAGATCTCAAAGGGATTAAATATGCAAATTCGTGGTAGAGATTGACAGTTTATTGAGGTAAGTTGAGGTTTATTTCTAAGTCAAGGTATAGATTGGAATGTACATATTAATTGCTTGTTTTCTTGTGTTATATTTTCCAAAAATAGATTTTTGTTATAAGAAAAATCAAATTATGGTGGATGTATATTCTTCCTCCATGATCTTCATCTCAAATGCTTAATGACATATTCAATGACATATTTTTCTTCACTTTTCATGCATATATAAAGGCCTTGTAATAGATAGGAAAATACACACAATTGAAGAAGAAAATATCTTCCTTCTCTCTATCTCTCTATATCTCTTAGCTTATTTTTTCTTGTTATATATTGTTACTTTGAGCTATATTTTATAACACGTTATTAGCACGAATTAGCTTCTACTCAAGTCCGATCCGGCACACACTAGCTACCACCACTCTACTTTCTGGTATGTTTCTTTTAAAGTTGTCATAGCATTGTTATTACGTCTCGGGAATTTTCTTTTTCCTAAGGTTGATTGCTAATATGCACATATACCAGTTAATTTAGATGTTACCATTCTTTAAATATTTTCAACCAATCAATTATATGCTTATGTAAGCTCCATTATATGGACTTAATTATTCTGGTAACCACATAAAAATGATGCATCCATATAATTTATGGTTTAACACACTATGCAGTTATTTTTATGAGTATACTGCCATGGAGTCTTAAAATAATTATAGATTGCCATTTTATTCAAAATTTAAAAATATATACACATGTCAAATATAGATTGTAAGATCATTATAAATTTGTTATTAAGATATTATAAGAATATATAAAATACATATATTAAATTATTCCGTAACAAGACTTTGCCATAATTGCAGATGAGCTTTACCTCTCTTTTTGTTTATTTTTCTCTGAATTCAATTAAGAATTTGCCATAGAAATTTTCGGTTAATTTTATTGATTCAAAAATTTATTGAATTCCGTTTATATAAATATGAATACCATATTACATGACTTATTATTATTATTATTATTATTATTCTTGTTTCATAATTACCCAAATTAATTCTAATTTATCTATTTTTTTAATGATAGTTTTCATTATGTCGAATTTATCAAAGCTTGAATTTGTGGCACTTGACATCTCCGGAAAGAATTATTTATCATGGGTCCTTGATGCTGAAATTCACCTTGCTGCAAAAGCTCTTGAAAATACTATTATACAAGGAAATGAAACATCAGGCTAGGATAAAGCAAAGGCTATAATTTTCCTTCGTCATCATCTCGATGAAGGATTAAAGATTGAATACTTAACTCTAAAAGATCCATTTGAATTATGGAGTAGTTTGAAGGAAAGATATGACCATCTTAAGGCAACAATATTGCCAAGAGCTCGATATGAATGGATTAACTTACAGTTACAAGATTTTAAAACTATAAGTGAATATAATTCTGTTGTATTCAGGATAACTTCCCAACTTAAATTATGTGGAAAAATTGTGAATGATGAGGATTTACTGGAAAAGATTCTTTCTACTTTTCATGCCTCAAATATGGTATTGCAGTAACAATACCTTGAAAAGGGTTTAAAAAAATATTCTGAATTAATCTCATACCTCCTGGTGTCTAAGCAACATAATACTCTTTTAATGAAAAATCATGAAGCACGTCCCACTGGATCTGCACCATTTTCCGAAGTGAATATGGTAGCAGCTACTCAAAAATCTGAAAGAAGACAAAATCATTATCGTGGACGTAGACATAGACACGGACATGGAAGGGGACGAAATAATTATCATCATCATGGTAAAAATAAATAAGAGAACAATAAGAATCCTCAAAATAATCCTCTAAAAGGCAGAGTTAATATTTGCCACAAGTGTAATATGAAAGGTCATTGGGCACGTGTTTGTCGTACACCTGACCATTTTAGCAAATTTTATCAAGCATCCAATAAAAGAAAAGATAACAATGTGGAGGCACACTTGACTATTCAAAATAATAATGATAAATCGGGTCCCTCAAACAAATATGATGATGCTGAGGCAAATCTTGCATATAAAGATGATGATTTTGGAGGCCTTACAAATATTACTCATTTAGAAGTTAGAGACTTTTTTGAGGATATTGACGGAGAAGTGATTATCTTGCTGGAGAATAAAGCTTTAAGAAAAGTTGTTATTTTTATATTATATTTTTATGTAGTTTTTGACAAGAGTGGGTTGCTCTAGTGGTGAGCACGCTCCACTTCCAACCAAGAGGTTGTGAGTTTGAGTCACCCCAAGAGCAAGGTGGGGAGTTCTTGGAGGGAGAGAGCCGAGGGTCTATCGGAAACAGCCTCTCTATCCCAGGGTACGGGTAAGGTCTGCGTACACACTATCCTCTCCAGATCCCACTAGTGGGATTACACTGAGTTGTTATTGTTGTTGTCTTTATGTAGTTTGTTCCTCTTAGTGTACTTTCCTAAAGCATCATATTTGCTAGTTTCTATATTCCTCGTATAATTTCTAATGTTTCTTTTATTTATAGTCTTTCGTATTTCTTATGATGTACTTTTTGTTTATTTATGAAGAATATGAAAATTTCCATGTCTCCAGTTAGATCCAAGATCAATAAAAATGATATATGTCGTTTGGATAGTGCTACAACACATACTATTTTAAGAGATGCGAGATATTTCTTTTATTTGGTGATGAAAGAAGCCAATGTTAATACAATATCTGGCAGTACAAAATTAATTGAAGGCTCAGGAAGAGCAAATTTATTATTATCCGGAAGAATAAATTTGGCTATTAATGAAGTATTATATTGTAGTAAATCTCAAATAAACTTACTAAGTTTCAAAGATATTCGCCAAAACGGATATAACATTGAGACAACAAATAATGAAAAGATTGAATATCTTTATGTTACTACAATAAAGTCGGGTAAGAAACATGTGCTTGAAATGTTACCTACTCTTTCCTCCAGCTTATATTACATAAGAATTAGCAGGATTGAAACACATGCCCAAGTAAATGAGAAGTTTACTAATCAAGATAATTTTATTATTTGACATGACCGGTTGGGTCATCCTGGTTCTACTATGATGCGTAAAATAATTGAGAATTCACATGGACATTCAATGAAGAACCAAAAGATTCTTCAATTTAAGAAATTCTCTTGTGATGCATGTTCTCAAGACAAATTAATTATTAGACCATCAACTATTAAGTTAGGATGGAATCCCCTACATTTCTGGAACGTATACAGGGTGATATATGTGGGCCCATTCACCCTCCATGTGGACCATTCAGTTATTATATAGTTTTGGTAGATGCATATACAAGATGGTCATATGTGTGCTTATTATCAACTCATAATATGGCACTTGCGAGATTGTTGGCTCAAATAATAAAACTAATAGCACAATTTCCAAATTATACAATTAAGACAATTCATCTTGATAATGTTGGTGAGTTTACGTCTCAGGCCTTTACTGATTATTGTATATCAACTGGGATAACAATTGAGCATCTAGTTGCTCATGTTCATACAAAAAATTGTCTAGCGGAATCATTGACCAAACGCCTCTAATTAATTGCTAGACCAATGCTTATGAGAACAAAACTTCCCATTTCAGTATGGGGTTATGCTATTTTGCATGCAGTAGCACTTGTGCGGATAAGGCCCGCAAGTTATCATAAAGTCTCCCCATTGCAATTGGTTTTTGGTCAGGAGCCAAATATTTTCCATCTTAGAATCTTTAGTTGTGCGGTATATGTTCCAATTGCTACATTACAACGCACAAAGATGAGTCCCCAAAGAAGGTTGGAGATATATGTTGGGTATGAATCTCCTTCTATTATAAAATATCTTGAGCCTATGATTGGAGATTTATTTACGGCAAGATTTTTTGATTGTCAATTTGATGAATCAGTATACCTTATATTAGGGGGAGAAAATAAGCAGCTTAAAAAGGAGATAGATTGGAATGTATTATCACTATCTCATTTAGATCCTCGAACAAATCAATGTGAATAAGAGGTTCAAAAGATAATTCATTTGCAAAATATTGCAAATCAACTGCCAGATGCATTCATTGACCTACCAAGGGTGACTAAGTCACATATTCCAGCTGCTAATGCTCCAATTCGAGTTGATATCCTGGTAGGACAATCAATTAAACCACGCTTGAAACGTGGTAGACCAATCAGTTCTAAAGATAAAAATCCTCGAAAAAAAAAGGAGGAA